GAGCAAACAAGATGAAATAAATATTGCTTGACTTTGATGGTTAACTTATTATGAATTCCTGAACAGGTCCAGAGCATTCGATGCAGAACAATCCTTCACTCTAAAAGCAGTCCCTGTCAGCTTGACTGTCTTGTTTTTTCCTTTAATCATAATTATTTGTGACTTTTTAAAAGTCTCCATATTTGAATGGAGTCAAGAAGGTACTGTCGCTCTATATCTCTCTATCTTTCATTCTCTTTGCCTTTTTCTTCTTCACAAAGCAGATTCAGCCAAAGGTCACACCTTGACTAGAAGTCTCTGCACAGGTCAAGGACAGCAATTCATTAAAATTATAACTGGGAATGTTTGCTGATACGCAAAAGGATCTGTGGGTCTGTATGTTGAAGCAGTGACTCATAATAAAAACTTTCAAAAGCAGCTTGTGAAGACGGAGAGGTTGTCTTAAAATGTAATCTACGGCCTGCTCAGTGTCAGTGAATGGTTGGAAATCCTGCACAATGGTTTATGGTGTTTTGTTCTGTTGACATTCTGTCGTCATTGTCCTTGAAGAGCTTGAGCCTGTGTGTTGTGTTAAGAGGGCTTTAAAGTTGGACGACAAAAGAGACACGGCATTTCGATGTTGAGACTTTAGAGACTGAAAGGGACGGCTCCTGAGCTGCAACTTAAAAAAAGGTAAATTATTAAACGACTGTCCACTGCAAGCCACAGCATTGTGAGGCAACGAGATCCCGAATTCATTTCAGCCCCACAAAGCATAATCCAGGTAAATCCCAGTAAATAACAGGAGGATCTCTATAATTTAAAAAACTTTTAAAAGTTAGCTGCTTTTCAGTAATTTCATTCAAACTCATATAACTGGCTTAAGAAAACAGTTAAGTTATAGATACCAATTAAAAACATATTTTTAATGTCAACCTACAGCATCGTATGTACATGGTATATTTGGTGCATATACTTTATCAGTGTTGTGGATCTCCATGGATCTGCTATGGGATTAAAGTTTGGTCACTTTGCTGACCAGTAAAGCACAGAGATAACATGGATATTAAAGCAGATGTTGCTGCCTTTGCTGGTTTGGACACACAGCACAGAGTTCTGAAGAAAAGTAAAATCAGCATTCTCATAAAGCTGGTCAGCAGAGAGATGTGTGAGACATTGTTTGGATTTGATAAAATACAGTGGAACAAAATCAGCAGATTATCCCAAACAATCTCACTCTGGTCACACTTAACACTGGTCTGTAAGAATCCTGGAGAACCACACGGCCTGTTCAGACAAATAACTGCATTCAAACTGAAATGTTTCAAGCTTAAACGATGATTCACGCTAAAAGACTGCTAGCATGTTCATTTGGCAAACGGATTCGCTTGCAAAGTTTGTAAACAGTCGCGGCTTATTGATGACTGCTGCTGGAAGTGTTGAGTCAGGTTCATTGTTGCAAATACTCTGCTTGTCTAAGGTAATGCACTGTCAGAGCATCACATTAGCATACTTAAACAAGTCAGCCTGGTGTTAGAGAAGAACATTACAGAAGAAAGTTGGTTTAAACTGTTGTAAACTGCTGTAAAATACAAAAGGCTACAACATCCAGAAAGTCACAGGTGAGTAGAAACAGTCTTACACTGCGAATGTAAACCATGTAATGGTCATGAAATGTGGTGAGATGTTTTCCGCTCTTACATTCGGCTGAGAGCTGAGACAGTCTTGGTTCTGAGTAGGTGTGCATCACAATTGGCTAAATTTGATCTTAATATGATTTTCAACTCTTAAAAACATGCTCTAAAAATGTTAAAGACCGTGCAATTTTGTAGAATTAAAGAAAGTCACAAACTTTTCATTGACATCTTTATAGTTTGGGGATTACATACAGTGTAACAGTAGATTCGTGTTAAGGCCCTGCAGACAATTCCAGTAAATGCTAAAACTGAGAAGTTTCAGTTTGTGTTTATGGTCTGAATTTCTCTGTCTCGCCGGACTCATTTGCTTTGTCCATAAAAGAAGACAAACATCACCATGCAGAGCACATTAACACTCGTATTTCATTCATGCGTTTTGTAATATATGCAGAGACTCGACTGACACTGAAATACTTTTTAATGAGGAACAATAATGAGTTTCATTAATTACCTCATTAACATGCCGAACGTGTCATGTTTGGCATTCGGAGACATCGAGCTGCTCAGGTGATGCTGTGAAACTCTAACTGCAAGTGGAAGCTCAAAGGTCACGTTATTGACAGAGCAAAAGCAGAAAGCTGTTGTGATATCTGAAATCAATGTCTCCGTGTTAGGAACACAAATATTTCACATTAAGTTTACTGAGCATATTTCTCATTTTACCAATGCTTCAGAGGAATTTTACACAGTTTGTTCAAGTTCTGTTTTTTTTTTTTTTTTTTTTTTTTCCTTTTGCTTTCAGAATCGCTGCAAGGCGTATTTCTGTGCATTTCATCAGTCTCTCTTGGTCATGTTTCATCCTTTAACTGTTGAAACAGGATCTGATTGATGATTCTTGCTTTCCTGTTAGGCTTGTGGGGAGTATCTGTCTGGCTTTTCACTACGTTCATTCCCTCACCAAAAAAGGTTGGGAATTAAAGATGACTGTTTTATTAATCTTTGGCAAACACTTTCTCTTTGGCCATGGATGCAAATTGTTAATGTGTCATTTTCAGTGACATTGTTGTTGTGTAGCAGACTTTGAATACATGAGGAGCTGAAACTCTCCACTTGTGAAAATAAATCTGTAGCTCTTCTCCTTGGCACTCAAACAACAACTCTGAGGGCTGCACTGTCAGACAGGACCCAATAAAAACAAACAACAAAAAAAGAATGGCTGATATTCCCCCCGCCGATAATTACAACGACAGGAGGAATTTGTATTTTTAAAATAAAGGTATGAATTCAACCACTTCATTTCTCTGACAACACGGCACAGGACTCCCTGAATATTATATTCATCCAACCGGTTACACTTTGTTCTTTGAGCTGTGACCCTTTGGGGTTGTTGTTTTTTTAACCGATCAAAGTATCCGTCTGTATTTTCTACAACCCCAACTTCTGCAGTGGTTTTGATTTCATAACTTCCAGAAATGATTGCTATCTGTACAGGCCTCTGGAGCTGTCAGAACAGTAGAAACATCTGAAAGTACAGGTGAGAACTACTCATTAAAACATGCTGAGTTGGTGCCTGCAGCTCATCTTTGTATGTCTGTATTTACTGTGGAGAAAACACAAAACAGCACAATCAGGGAATTATGACAGAAAACATACAACAAATAACCCCCCTCCCCTTCCTTTTATTTGATTTTGCAGTCCCTATCTTTTGAACAGGCACTACTATCAAACATCTTCACACAGATACAGAAACATGTGTTAATCTTTATGTGTATCAAATCATATTGAACATGACCAGGAAAGCATCAATAAAAATGAGAATAAACCTTTACAGTTATTCTGTTAGAACTAAAACCAATATCATTTCCACTAGCTATACAGAAAAGCTGCGGAGATTTTCTTTTTACTTTCTTTAAAATCACGAGAACTCTGATTACTTGTCGCGATTTTTGGGTGTATTGATTTGTGGTTTTGTCGTGGGTTATTTATGGTTCATACTTTTTGCGTTAGTTTTTTTTTGGTAGGTCTGTTTTCTTAAGTTATCTTCCTGATTTATGTTGTGTTGTGTTGTTTAGTTAATTCTAATTTGAGTCCCTGTCTTAAACAGGGACTTAACCTGTTTCTTGTTTTGCTCCATTTGGTTCCACTTCCTCAGTTCAGCTATTATTATCCCAGCCATCGAGCCCATTGAACACACCTGCGTTTTCCCATCTCAGTTATGTCACTCACCTGCTTCACCAGGTCTTTAGGTCCCTGGCTTTCCCTTGTTCTTTGCTGTGTTCTCAGGTTTGTTTCTTGCACTAGATATCTGTTTTTTTTTTTTTTTGTTGTTGGTTTTTTCATTTGTTGTTTTGAGAAAACAGATCTATCTCATGGCACTCTTCAGCAGTAATCTGCAGTGTCTCCAGCTCTAATTCTGGCACTTTACACAGTGCCAAAGTTGATCCAATTATGTTCGGCACAACCAGATCAGGTGTTGTGCTGCTGGCAGCGTTTGATTTTGTGTGTGAGCTGCATTCATAGCAACTCAGCAGGGGATGTTTTCTCGCTTACACCACTTTGCAAGTATATTTTTCACTACCTCACTTCACCTTAACACAGAGAGAAAAGCTGCTGTCTTCTTTTCTTAAACAATTTTGAAGATTTGTTTGAATCATAGGTTTGTAACTAAACATTGTTAAAAAAAACACACACAAAATGGAAACTGTTAAAATAATCCAATCAATATTCAAAAAAAGAAAATACAATTAAAAGTGCACCAACTTTTCAATCATATCGATTAAACACTAATTACAAATAAAAATACATTAAACAGACTGTTTTCTATTTATGCTTTTCTTTTCAAATTGCTTACAAAGTTTGACTGAAGAAAATACTGTGAAGAACACACTGTCTAAAATGGTTGAATGCTGTGTTATTTAAAAACAAGTTACGCTTGCATGTCAAAAATAAACATGATTTATTTGTTACTTTCAGCTATAAGGCATCATAATTAATTTATGTTGTGTTTATTGCTTAGGGAGCAGCTTATGATCTTCTGCATGAGTGCATAGCCAACAGCTGTGGTCACCTACTCAAACTCAATGTCTAGATTTATCACCAAATTACAGCGTACACATCTGAAAGGCTGAGTAGATCGAATCAGTGACCTTCACGTTTTATTTTGTGTGTGTGTGTGTGAGAGAGAGAGAGAGAGATTTCATGAGACTCGAATAATAAAAAATGTTCCCTCTCAAAAAATGAAGTACTTGTCTGTATCTAACTTAACCTTACAGTGCAAGATTCATAAACTTTGCTGTGCATTTGGCACATAGCACTCCTTCATATTTTTTTAATTATGTCATTGTTGCAACATCTTCTATCCCTCTAATTTTTATTTTTAACATTAGGAGGCCTTCGTCTTCCCTTTGGCATTTCCTGTTCTCAGACAGCTTGATGTGAAAGCAGTCGCGTCTCTTCTTGCTTGTGGTGAGTGACTTTACTGCAATGCATGGGTGAACTGGGCAATGGGGAGCAAGAAGAAATGATTGAATTTGGTCTGTTCGCAGAAATTCCCTTGATAGAAATGCTTCCTGGTCGACTTACATTGCAATTTATTTTTCAATAGACAGAGAAATAGGCAGAGCTCTAAGATAATGACAAAAATGTCCCAACTGGAATCTCATGGCCCATTAACGATAATTTCTGTGGAAATTCTTTAAGTGATTGCCGAACGCAGCTACAGCTCAGATTTCAGACTGATTGGCTGAGAGGTAGAAGTAGCTTCAATATGCATCCTGCATAGTTCATGTAATCAGAGCTTTGTTCCTTTTTATGGAATTTCCCTTTTTCTTGTAGAGTGGAAGGTGTGCTCACCGCCTGCTTTATTAGGAATAACTTGAGGCCTTGCTAGTTCTGGGCTCAACCCTTTCTCCCTTTGACTGCAGTCAGGTCAAATTTACTGCTGCTGTGCCCCATCTGTTTTAAAGTTTGGCATGTTGTGCCTTTAGAGAGCTGCATACCTTAGTTGTACCCAGTGGTTGACTGAGCAACTGTTGCCTTTCTCATCCTAAACCAGTGAGGCATTTCTCCTCTGACCTCTGACATCAAGAAGATGTTGTTGCTCACTCAAGACGTCTGAATTCACTGAATTGCTGCTCTGAGACTGGATGATTTGAACCACCAAATGAAGATGCATACCTGATATAGTGGTCTATATTTAAAAAAAACAAAAAAACAAAACTTAATATTTAGCTTATTTGATCTCTTAAGTTGTGCTTGGTTACTGGTGTGAAATAATAAATCCCATTCAGAAATATTTGTACTTCTACAGTACAGAAATCAGCCGTATGGCAGCTCAAAATGGAGATAAGTGTTGAAGTCATAGTCATGTCAAATGGGTTGTTGGCCATAGTGCTATTAATGGTTCCACTTTAGACGTTAAGGTTAACGTAGCAATCACAGTGAGCGTGTGCCAAGGCAAGGCGAGACCTGTACGTTGATGTCTGGAGACAACCCCATCATCAGAGTCATACTGGTGAGACTATGTTTAAAGACACTGCTACTCATTTATCTTATACTTGAAAACTACTGACAGAAACTGTCACTGGGCCAAATTGAGGAAGCATGACATTGCATCATGTAGAATGATTGAAAAATTGTTGAAAAGTTTTTGAAAGTTTTATTTCCAGAATTTATTCTTTACATGAATCTGGCTTCAGCTAGAAAAAAAGAGAGATTTTTTTCTCCTCCGTTCTCCTCCTTGGAAATGTATTGCTGTCACAAAGGGGAAAAAAAAGCTTTTGAAGACTATCAAAAAGAGTTTTATCACATTTATATAATTTAATAATCACATTCATAAAATATTTATACATATGTTTGTGCAACATAATCATCATGTACTGTAGATACTTTGTACCTTGATCCTGCGATCCAATGCAGATAAGATACATCATAAGTACTCTGTTTAAACCCATTTCTAAAACAGCAAAAAAGAGGAGAATGTTATTCATGCTTTTCAATCCTACTTACATCAGTTAAGCTAACATTTCACACGTGGGTTGATTAAAGTAGTTGGTAATCATCACCAAAAAACATTATTTTACATTTTCCTTGTGATTCACACAATCTGCCATACATCAATTGGCCTAGAGGGGGCAGGAGAGAGCTTCTCCATCAGAAACATGACAGGCAGAACAGTAATATCAATCTACCAAATATCAATTACATATTGATATTTGTGGGGATATTGTGCAGGAATGACAAATAAAACGAGTCTAACCAGCCTGATTTCCTTTTATTTTGTGATCAATGACAAGCATTATATTAATATTGTTGTTCTACCAGCAGACTTTCAGTCACAAATTACAGTAAACTTGTTTTGTATACCAGCTATACCCTTCCTGACATGGACCGTGAACTAATGCTTTAGATGGCCTCTTTTTAAGGTCCTGTTTAGACCTTCCAATAGCCCAGCATGAACCTGGGCAGGCATTTGCACTGAGCCCAAAATATATATAATGCCTATATTTTTGCTTCTTTGCCAACTGGCTGGCTGTAGTAATAAACAGCAATTCCTTGTGTACCTTGCTGTTGCTGACCTCCACAGCAAAGACTCTGTGGGTCAGAGTGATGAGATTAGCAGAGCATCGTGGGGATATTGGCTCCTCACAGGCCACTGAAGGTCCTGGAATCAAATCTTAAACCTCGGTTTCATCCGCTAAAGTCAGCTTTAGCAGGAGATAAAAGCTAACATGTTCTGGTTGTCGAGTAAATTAAAAGCTTGAGTGAGTGTCCCAGTGGATTACATTAGGAAATGTTCACAAGAGTGCGTGCTTCAAAGATATTGCAAATAATTTGAGTCATTATCTAGTCAGATGTTAAATCCTGTTCCTTACAAAGACTAAGTTGTCTTTTGATTGTCTTACTTAAAAATGTCCATGCATCCATTTTTCTCTTGAAGTCAGATCTGGAAACGCTCCAACCGTAGTCTCCTTAAAAAACTACTGATTTATTTAAGCCTTATCACAAGGCTGGAATAAATGCATTTCTTAGTATTTTGTACATTAAAGTACTGTGGCAACAACTTCACAAATAGAATATTTAGGTATTTAATGTTTGCTACAAACTGATTGTTAATGCAGCTGCCTTTACTGTACACAGTCAGAATTGATGAGAAACCACTGATTTAGGAAATAAGACGTCTACAGAAGTCGTTCCAATGGACTCCTTACCATGCAAAACACCATTATTCACAGAAACACAACTATAGATTCAATCTGAGATAAGTAACTTTTAATAATTATATTATTTTTTTTAGAACTAATTATGAATTACCTGCTTTGGTGAAAAAAAAAACATGCCATTAACATAATTTGTCTTCTTAGTAGTCATATTCAATTAGAATGATGCTTTCAAATCTTCCCAGTGAGACTCGTTTATGAGATTAAAGGTGCCTCTTCAAAATAACAACTTTTGAGCATGTATTAAGCATACTTTTCATCAAGCCTACATTTATTAAAATATTTAGTTTTATTGGTCTGGTGTAATATATTTTTTTTTCATTAGGACATTCATTATGTGGCGACACTGTGGTGGGTGGGTGTTCAAACATCCACATTCTTATCTTATTTGTGAAGTTGTTGGAAAGAAAATGCACCTCTGACTTTTTGCTATAATTGGATACGAAGGAGGAAGAATATCACAAATCGATTCCTTTGTGTTCTTGAACTTCCTGTACACTCCAAAGAAAATCCCTGATCTGAAAAGGCACACATTTTCCCTTTTTAAAAATACAAAGCATCAAACTCCATATTAAACTCAGAGTTTTAAACTTTGGGTGGTATTACACCACATCTTAGGAAAGATAAAAATGTCAGTCAGGACAGATAAGAAGTGATCCTCCATAAAAAAAAAAAAAAAAAAAGCTGGTTCCCTTCCACATCAAAAGAAACAACTATAGCGGTTGAAGCATCTGTCAAGCGTGCCTCCGGGATTCCTTCTAGGGACTTTGCAACATAAAAAAGATCTTGGCACAGACCTGGGACACACTTCAGCAATAACGTCTCTTGTCTTGCAGTAACGTGCTTGAGGATGTGCATAACTGTGAGATGACTAGCTCCTTTTGTTTCAATCAGGATTTCAAAGTAATGGGAAACTTTTGAAAAGAGAACATTTTCAAAGTAGGTGCCATATTTAGACATTGTTCATCTGATATATTTGGCTCAAGAGAATGTCTTTATTTGTGGTATAAAAAAAAAAACACAAAAAAAACAAACGAAAATGGTCAAATCCTAATGAGATAATCGAGCTTTGGAAACAAATAACTTACTAAGACAGAATCTTTGAAATGGTCAGCTTGATCTTCACATCATTAATGGATTTTTGATTTGCTGTCTTCTGAGACTAGAGACATCAATAAGTGACTTTAATGAGCTACATCCCTGGGAGTGCCTCCCTTTATCTAGAAGTCCTATGATGGTGAATGGAGAACAGAAATGAAAGTAGCAAGAGTTTTAAAAACAGATGGCGAGGGAGAGAGCGCTTTATGGTGAACTCAGTCAGCCTTTCTCCAAGGCTCTAAAGTGCATCTCCTCTGACACAGAGCGGCTGTCATTGTCAGAGCCTGGGGAGCCGGACAAGGAACTGTCACGTTTCTGACTGAAAATAAAGAGAATAGGAGCGGCATGTTCATTTGTGTGTCTGGTGAGGAGGGTGTGACAAAGAGAAAGAAAAAGAAGTCACATGTTCAGCATTTCCAAGAAAGACCTATGAGTTTAGATGAGTTCGACAGTTTTTAATGCAGGGAAAGTGTGAGGAACAGAAAGAAAAGTCTGCAGGGGTCAACACTGGGCTCAGCCAGCTGTGACACATTCTGAATGAAATTCCATTAGGGATTAAGCCCAGTGCCGTCGTGCAAATGACTTACGGGTTGTCTGGGGTTCGCTGCAGCTTTCACGGGAGATTCTGCAGTCGAGAGGCGTGATTCAGCTCTTTTGGTGGCTTTACTGAAGGTGTCTCACTTCAAGTGTTTGCTAACTTGAGAGAAGACAGAAAGGAGGCAGTCAAGGTAGTTGGCTGCTTGCTTGTGAGTCGTGATCGGTTTGCTCTATAGGTTCCTATGCCGGAGGAGAGGGACAGTTGGAGAATGGACAGATCAAAGGTAAATAATATCATAAGTAGTCTGTGCTAGCGCAGCGACCGTGGTAGTTACCACAAGTAGTAGTAAACCATCTGGCGTAAATGCACGCCACCTGGAAGCTACATCTGTCCATCACACCCCGCAGAAGAGGAAGAGGAGGAGAGAGCTGAAAGCCAACAACCAGCACACCGGTCTGTGGATATGACAGGAACAGGGGAAACATGAAGTAAAAGTCTAAATAAAACAACAAGTGCAACTCAGAACAGAACTCGCACCAACACAGAGCACAAACACAAAATAAATGGAAAGTCCGTCATCCCCCAGCAATCTACAGGTTTTGTAGAGGTTTACAAGCTGAGGACTGTGACTGGAGACAGACAGAGCACAAAGAACCATCAGTTCATCAGAATGCAGGATGAAGGCTGGATGCTCCAGTCCATTGTGGGTTGCTGGAACTGATCTGGACCCTGATGAAGTTCCCAGGGTTCAGATCAACAGGAAGTCATGGTGCCAAATTTAGAGCAGAAAAGCTACGAAAAATCTCTTACAAAAACTGCAAATGATAGCAGAGTTATTGTACTTAAATTATATATTATTCATAACCTTTCAACAGAAACTAAAATAAAATTAGCCATCCATTTGAGAAATACAAATACATTGCTTTACTAAAGTGTCACTTCTGAAATACACACACTAAAACTCAGCTTTCTAAAGTTTTTACATATATATATATATATATATATATATATATATATATATATATATATATATTGTTCATTTTTATTCTAAAATGCTGTTTCTATATTAAAAAGTGCAACTGGTGTAGAAATGAGGATTCTGTCGACAAGCCTCGAGGCCATCTGTAATAATGACTTTATATTCAAGTGTAGGAGTGACAACCTTAGAGGTCCATTTATGTTCAGTGGTAAATTATCTTTGATGCTCTGTGTATATTAATTGCACGGAGTTTAAATTGGATCCATTTTAGATATCAACTCTTAAATCTGTGGTTTAAAGCATATTTAGGTTCGAAGGAAGCATATTCTGTTACAGCTGGGAGAACATACTTAGTGCCCAAGAGAGTGCTACTGGCTAGAAGTAATTTAACGCATGGGCAGGGCTGTAGCACTAAAAAAAAGAAACTGTAAATTGAAATGCGATGGCATGAGGTGAACTAACGGTGTAATACGTAACACATTTAAACTGAAGTACGCATTCAGAAATACCCAAAGCATTTGTTGATGGATTTTATTGCTAACTTGTATTGTTAGAGAATATGTTTTTAAGATCTGAGCTCAAGTTAAGTATAGTTTTTATAAACGCTGTGGGAATTGAGGCTGTAAAGGTCAGATCTCTGGATGCTGTGCCCCGAAGCATTTTTACTTCAGAAAATCCATCTTTGCTTTCAGCTGTCATGGGGTGCAAGAGATGATTTGGAGACCGTTTAACAGAACACCACAAGGCTTGTTTTGAGGTCCGTCTGTGACATTTATGAGAAAAAGTCGCTACGACAGCGAGACTGATTCTTTTAAGGTGAAAGCTAAAGACGGCTACTTCTTCACGCTAGTCAGATTATATATCCACAGAAACCAGTAGGTTCAGAAATAAGGATGAATGGGAAGAAGGTTTGTGCAGGTAACCACTCTGCAGCCAGGACGAGGAGGAGAGTGAGGGGTGACACGCATAACAACACAAATCCGTACAGCAGCACAGCACAGATAAACATATTGACATAGATTCAATACAGCCACAAACCAAGCATATCTGTGTCTAATACTTTCTGAGCAAATGCGCAGCAGCGGCAACAAAAAATGGCAAAAGATAAAAGAAAGAAAGGAAAACACAAAGCAGAGGATAGAATGTATCCATCAATAGTTAATAAGATTTGTTCCATCTAAAGTAAAACTGCCACTTCATGGTTTTATGTTACTTCCAATAGTAGCAATGCTGGCATTTGTTATGTTCAGATATACAACACATTCTACAAGATGTTTTAAGGAAAAAGCCTTGAAATAAAAACATCTTTTATTGCACCACTGGTGCCAAACTTCTTGGTTCCCCTTATAATTTTGTAATCTATGCTTCACATTTATACACTTTGTATGTATGTATGTGTGTGTGTATATATATATATATATATATATATATATATATATATATATATATATATATATATATATATATATATATATATATAAAGAAAGTTTGAATGGATGCAAATGGTGCTTATTCACTTCAGAGCTAGTAATTTGGGAGATTAATAGGAGGCCAGACTACATTTTTCAGAGTCGTGAGATAAAGATAAGTGAGATGAATACACTGATTATTCACTAATTAATTTAAGTTATCTTACTCATACATTCCTTGAACTTGTGGTCTGGTCTTGAATGAATGTCATTAGGCCATGTCAACATGTCTACAACAGTTAATGAGGGTTAAAAAGCTTAAATTAGTCCTCCTTAGTTTTAACAAAAGATAACAAGCATCTTCTGGTCATTCTCCTTCAGCTGCACACTGCATGACCATCTTCTAAAAGCACTGAGTTCATTTTTTCTGAAGCCCTGTCCTCACAGTGCTGCTTTTTTTTTTTTTTCTGAAACAGGTTATTTTCAAAAACATTTGCGATCATATGAGGCCATTTACAGTAAAGCTTTCATCCACACAGAAAAACAGAGAACTCCCCCAGACCAGCAAGTGGCGCTAAACATGGCAAGCAAACAAAACATGTGTGGCGTCTTTTGTAGAGCTGGAGAACCACCACAAACATTGTGTTACACCATTATACCGCTGTGGTGGCTTTGTATGACTTGTATGGAGTTACAGGTCAGGTCAGAGGTCGAGCTAATGCTTAAGGGTTTTCACAAAAGATGCATTTTTGCTGTCCACATGAAAAGACAAGGGTGAAAGTTTCACTCTGGAATCCATTTTTTTTTTTTAAATATGTTTTGGGTCCTTTAAAATGTTGTTTTTTTGTGGACAAAGATCACAAAGTTAAAAATAAAAAACTCTTAGGAAAAAAACACCTTAACTGATATTTATTTAAGCTGATGTTTATTTTGGATGGAGTCTGGTTATGAAGGACTCACAAAGTGTTTTTTTTGTTTTGTTTTTTTGTTTGTTGACGCAGCACCGTTGCTTGAACTGCGCGACAGACACCTAACTAGAGGAGGTGACAGACAACATTGTTGGACTTTATCACATATTTCTGTATCTCACCACACTAATCAGCCATATGTTGGTTGGCAACCACGGCACTAGATTTTATGATGATTTATGAGTTGCTTTACCGATTCACCTTCATCAAAACAAACTCAAGAAAAAAATGAGATGGAATTAACTAAAATAAAATAGTTTACTTGCTTAAACATTGTTAGCTGAATTCAGTGTTCCAGACCAAACAGCTTTAATTTTTTTGAATTAACATTTTTAAGAAGAAATAAGGATGGTAAGCTTTGATTTGTTTTTTTATTGTTTTGTTTTGGGGTTTTTTGTGGCAAACTGACTAGTTTATTTATCTTGCTTTGTCTTCCTTAAAATCTTCAGGTGGTTCTCCAGTTTGTGCACCATCTGTGTGTATTACACACAGAAATACCTGATCAAACATTGTCAAAATATTACTATGCCTCAAAATATATTTGTACAAATTCAGCCAAGACAACAGCCGAATGATTCAAACATCAAAACTGGTTTTGGAACGAATAAAGCAGGCTCATGATAATGACTTTCCTAAAACCTAACCCTGTAAAACACCTTTGTCTACTATGCCTGAAAATCTGGTGTGTGTCAGAAAGATCAATCAATTTAAAATTACGGTGACATTTCTAAGAGTAGAGTAATTTATTATCCACACAGATTTATGCCAGAAGATTGATGCGTCATGATTCTGGCGTCTGGATGTGAGTTTGGGTCTCTGCTGTATCTGTCTGCCCCTACCTCAGTTTGGAGACAAAGAGAGCTGTTGGACAGCCTGATGAAGATGACCATCAGGCGATCGTCTTTGCCTGATGATCAGCCTTTCTGGTACAACCAAACCCATTGTGTTGCTTTTCTTTAAATATCTCTTTCATCCTTGAAAGAAAGCAGTTAAGTTGGTTTACCTACATTTTTAACTCCCCTAAACATGTCTGCCAGGTTGAAGACTGTTTATCTCAGTATTTTCCCTTCACTAACTGCTCCTCTTCCCTTCCAGATGCTGCTGAGCCACTGACTTGGAAGTCACTCTCAGTTTTGCAAGACATTGTATTAACAGCTTTCACTTTGTCATTCTGAGTCCCTCCAACGATTCTGGATGTGGGTCAGGAAATCGTCAGGAAACACGATACGAAGGCCACAAAAAGTTTGAAGTCTCTTTGCATTTTACAAAGGGATACTTGAGCGAGGGATACTTGTATACATCTGAATCTGTGCATATCGTTTTGAAATGTCACAAATTCAGATTTGCACTTCCAATTCTAATTTAGACAAATCGCTACAGTTGCTTGTGGCATAAACAAAGACGTTTAAACTTAATGACATACATGCTGAGCTTGAGTTGAGGTGTTGAGACTATGAGGTCACTGACATGAGATTCAAGGAGGGATGAAGTAAAATACTGTCTGCTTGTTTTTCTTGGGCTTTTTTTTCTCTGTTAATTGTCTTTTTTTGTCTCTTTGCACTTCCTGTGACTGAGTATCTTTTAGTTCCTGCTTGTCAAGCCTACAGCTGCATATAATGTTTTGATTGTACACTGCCTTTGTATATGTCACCATGGTGACTACCCATTATTTCCATTAGCTCGGCCTTCAATAAAGATTGCATGCTTACCTTGAAGATATATTTTAAAAAGTACAGCAAGGGTTTTTACCTTATTCAGCAGCAAATTGAACTACTTTTTGAAAAGAATGTCAGTGGCAAGATGTCAAGGAAAATCAACTATTTAGGCTTCCACATAATTTTTAGCTCCTATTGTTCAAACTGTTTTTTTTTTTGTTTTTAGAATAATTTGACAACTTCAAGTCAGCAGGCAGGCACATTTTTAAATATATTTTTTCTACTTTTGACTATTTTGTGTGCAATCAAACATTGGGTCATTCAATAGAAACAGGCATTCATCGAGGAGATTTATCTCTTCTGGAGCCACAAAGTTAGTTTTCAAATAGGAAGAGTTTCTTTCAGCAGATACTCTGTCAATTCGTCCAACTTGAGCCTTTCGGCTTTGGGTTGGAATTATCCAGTCTGTGAGTTTTACAAGTTCTTTTAACCATTTCATCAAATCTCACCACTGTCATTTCTCAATACTTCCTCTCTGTTAATTGTCTTTTAATTATTTGCAGACAATACACATCCAATGCTTGCATCAGGCATTTCCCACCCAAAGGTTAATAAAATTGATGTTCATCTATTTTGGAATATCAATGTCAAATGCTCACTGGTAAGTTGGTCACCATCTCAAGTATTAAATCTAAAGTATGAGTTGTTAAGCCACAGCTGCCAAACTGTGTGAACACAAAAACAGATCCATAGTTCAGCTTGAAATTTAAAGTATGATATTGCTGGACTGTAAATTTGCCTGATTTAGAAAAGAGCTGGTAATAATAATTTGCTCTGACTGCTCAGCAGACGGGTCTGGTTGTTGATTTGGGATGTATTGATTTAATGTGATATATAGTGCTTTGCTTTAAGTTTGAAGTCAATTAAAGGTGTGAAAACACTCTGCCTCAAGGGCTCTATGTATTTAAAGAAACAGTGTCAACAACTTTAAAAGCAAGAATTAAAACAAACAAAAAAAAACTATCTCAGCAATCTAGAGAAAGAAATAAAATTTAATAACTTAGGTTTAATTTTAAGGGAATCATCACATTATATATTTGAATAACTGAAAAAATATTTTGTATAACTTATTGAAGACATAATGAGAAAATGCTGTGGAAAACTACGTTAAGACACAAGAAAGAAATGGGTCAAAGAAAACCAAAGTTTGACAGATTGAGACGAGAACAAACATGGCCAGTCGAGATATGATGAAAGTACATTTAAAAAATACCATTTCATATACAAACCTTACTGTCTAGCAACCATGCTTGAGAGCTGAAAACCTTTCTAAAGCACATCTAATATCACGTCTTCATTCATATGTAAGATTCATAGGGGTGAAATTCGACAGGGTTTGCACAGCTGGTATTGTTTTATGGTGTAGTGAAAATAATTCACATGTGCAGTTGCACATCTGTGCATACCTGCTGCTTTGGTAATGAAACAAAAGATAATTATTAAATATGCCCTCAGTCTTACTCTGCGAATAACCTACGAGCCCAGAAGGACCATAAAATCCTTAGCAAACCTCCTTTTCAGCTTGAACTGGTATTTAGAAGCAAATGCATTTGATGTAAAGTGCAGCAGGCGATAAAGAAGAAATGTGATTGCAGAGATGCTGCCTTTTTCTATTCAGCAGATTCAGAAAATAACACGTTTAAACACAAAACCACACATTTACAGCTCCAATAAAGTGAGACATTTTTTTCTTTTTTTTCTTTTTTTTTGCAAAGCTCTGATAGTCAATCCCAGATGCTAATAAAAGGAAAAGCCAACTTCCTAAAGTAAAGAAAAAGTTTGATATTTTCATCGTCCAACCTTCATGGTTCAGTTCTTCTTTGTCATTCATCTGAGCTTATAAGGTTATTAGCTTGCTGCACAGGGGGCTGCAGCTCTCATCCTTTCTGTCAGAGCAAACGCTTTTCACCACAGAGGGCTTTTCAATTGATCCACTCACAAACTGATTTAATTAAGCCCTTGTTGCACTCGGGCATGGCCCCACATAATCAGCTCTATATTGTCAGAGCAATTCAGAGAAATGGCATCCGCTGCTATGAAACTGAGATGTCATGCCAAAATGGAAGGGAAATTTTGACAGTTCCTCCTCCGCAATTATCTTTCATTTCACCAGAGATCCAGATCTGTGCTGCAGCAAAAGCTCCTGCTTTTCAGCAAACCTAACAACAAAGTCACATGACTGTAGCTCGCACTGCACAGTTGAACTCAACCATCAGGTGAAATCAGGCAGCTGCATGCGGTCCTGTGATATGGAGACCAGCCTGTAGGGACCCAAACACTTTATGGATTGGATCATTTCAGCTGTATCAGTAAATCATTGCAAGATGTAAGAAATATGTTTCTCAACGGGCAAGCAGAAAAGTACTTGAAAAATGTGGATAGTGAATAAAAAAAAGCACTTCTAGTACAAGTTTTTGCACATCTGCAATAGATAAATATTAAGGCAAGCAAGCTAAAGCTAAATGTAAAAGTGACTTTTTAAAGATTGTGTCGGTCTCAAAGTATACATTCTTCCTAAATGAAGCTTTTAGTCTAATGTTTCTTTTCTGCATGCTTCTGCTCTGTTACAATCCAAGAGAAAACATTGCACTTTCTCTTCTGCCACATTTACTCAACAGATTTACTTCCAGTTTACTTTTAAGTTGAAGGTTTTGCATTTTGGCTTGCATAACCATCCTTGTTAATCCAACAATATGTTGAAGTTTAACCAGTGAGTTCAGATTTTGTGCAAATTTTGGACTAAAAGTACGATCTTTGCCTCTCTGAAATGAGTCAGAGTTGGTCTTACTTGGCCCAAAACCATCTGTAAATTCCCAGATATCCTTCTGTTCAGTCTTCACTGCTCTTAACGTTAGTCTGATTTTTAAAGTCCAGCTTTCTGACTTTTCTTCAAAACAGATTATGCGGTCTTCGCTTCACTCTCGATCTCTGTGAGTTGTTTGATCAAAGCTCTACCAGTTTGGGATATTCTTGTTCATTTTCTCACTTTTCATTAAATGTTCAAATGATCCAATAGCCCAGGCAAAATCAAAGACTGGAGAAAGAGTTCTGGGAATAAAAAAATTATTATTTCTCTGCACATAAAAAAAACCAAAAAAAACTGTGGTCCATAAAAAGTTATTCAGATAAGATTCACCTCCATCAGATTCAGCTGCTTAAACTTTTTTTTTTTTTTAATTTAATGCTTTTAGCTGTAATAATGACTAGTTTACATTATGCAGAGCATTTTTACCATGTGCTTTTATTGCTCAGAATGTTTACTTTTTCCTCTTATCACATATAATGCATAGTCAGGCTTTCTTATATATTTCTTTAATACCCCTTGAACATTTTTTGTATCACATTAAATCCAAAACGTCTTCATATATTAGTTGAATTCCACGTGAGCGAGCAACAGCGAAACAGAAAATAAAAATCAAAAGGATGTGGCGTGGATATGTATCATGTCCTTTCTGCTTAGAAACCTTGAAATAAAATGCAACGAAACCAAAAGCCCTCAGACGTCTAATTAACAAAGGTAGTCTGCAGCTGTGAACTCCTGACATAATGCATTTGTTCTGTGAAGGTCACAGAGGTCAGCAAGATATGAGCGAACAAACAGCGTCATGGAAACCAAGAAATACATCAGCAAACCTACCAATACACGGCAGAGCATCTAAACTTTACATTAATGCAAGAGAGCATTATTGAGAGCAGCTGAGACGCCCATGGTAACACTAGAGGAGCTGCAGAGATCCACAGCTCAGGTGGGAAAATCTGTCGATGGAATAATCAACCTGGGATTAGTTGTTAGTGTGGTTGTTAGTGTTTGCCATTCTTTGAAGGAATGACAAACACAAAGTTCTTATTGAAAGAAAACCAAAATAAAAGTTTGCAGTTTGACAAAAAAAAAAAAAAAAAAAAACATGGAGGTGACATGGATGTAAAAGGAG